TTGATTTCGACGAACTTCAAATTTAAGAGTGTCGGCTTTCCTTTCTCTTATTCCGTTACAAGATCCATTCTTTAATACACTTATATTTTCTTTGCACAGAATATATGTAATGGACGCGTAACATTACTCCCGTGACTAACCATATGTGTCAGATCCGAAACTACCGTTCAGCTAATACGATATTTTCAGTCGACACTAAAAACTGTCAGTCTAATTATTGTTTTTATCTGTCAAGTACAGGCTCACTTAAAATGAAGTTCAATAAGAACTTTGGCTATTTTCTCATTCTATCATATAAAATCATTTGGACACAATGTGAAATATAGATTTTATCAATAAATAAATTCTGATGTTACAAAGTGTGAATAAAAGCTGTACCGATACATTTATATCTGGACTGGAAAGGAAATGAATTTGAGCACGCACGTATTCTTCTCTCTTATCTTGAAGACACCTTTTAATAACTGAATTCTATAATTCAAATTAGGTTCACTGAAATAGTAATTAAAGCTGTTGTAATTTAATATCATGCATTATTCATTCGAAATTTTAATATTCCATATGAATTGTGATAGGATATAGCAACACGAGCTAAAAAACAGATTGCCGAAGTGTTCAGTTTAATGATAAGAGGAAAAATGAAAGAAATTAACTTCTTTACTAAATCCACAATGAACAAGCAGAAAGCCAATGTAAAACTACAAAGAACAGCTTATGAAAATATGTGTAGGCCAAATGTAATTTCATTCATTCAGGGTTGGGTACATTAAATTGTTCGCACTTTATATTCGCAATTCTTAATCAAGAGAGAGGACCAATTTGGCATAATCTGGTCACAATGCTAGGTCTGCACAATATCATGAACACTATAACAACACAATCTGTCTACATCACAGATTTACACTTAAGTCCTTTGCCAATAGAAAATATCCCACTTCCACCAAATGCATAAATCATTTTAAATAATCATACAAGCCCACATGTTTCGGCCTCAACAGATCATCTTCATGGGCAAACAGTATTTAAGAATTCTTTACATAATATAATTAAAATATTTTGAAAAATGTGAGTCATTTAAATTAAATATGATAAAAAATTTAAAAAATTTTAAATTATTTGTGTGCTGAAGTCCAATAATGGAAGAATGTAGATGTTTTTCATGTTGTCTTTTCAACATAATGCCGAAGGTTGCATTTTGTATGATAGATTTTAATCTTTCTTTTAAATGTCTGTAAATATAACACAGTAATAATGATCTACGAGTTCAGTTATTATATGACCAGACTATATAAGTTGTACCTGTTTCATGTTTTAAGAATAATAATAAATTTGTCCATTGGATCGTGTGTTGCGGCATGTCTGCAGTGGCCTATGTAAGTGGAAGTGCTGAAGTGGTTAGGTATCAGCGATGCATAGACGTGTGTGTGTGACCGTAATTCCGCTAGCTGGTGCACACTATCAAGAATGAAACTGTCTCTTTGTGACGATCTTTTTAATTCTCTTAGTGGGGGGTGGAGTCCAACTGGGTACACTCGGCACGGCGGCCACTGATTGGCCTATTGTAGCCTGCTCCGGGTGATTATGATGGAGAATTTGGTGGAATGAAGATTGGCAGGGGAAAACGAAATACTCGGCGAAAACCCGCCCCAGCACCACTTTGTTCACCACAAATCCCACTTGACCAGACCCGGGATCGAACCCGAGCGGCCGCGGTGGTTTTGTGAGGAACAGTCCTATTTTAAAAGAGGTTAATAATTTTTCTTTCCGTGTTATAATTGATCATATAAAACTAATTTCGTGAGTCATTAATTCTGTGTTATACTTTCAGATATTTCAAAATAGAGCCTATCATACAAATTATAACCTTTCGCATTAAATGGGCAAGACAGTACAAAAACCACTTCCTTCCTTTTATAATTGCACTCAGCACATAAATAATTCGAAAATGGTTACGTACAGTATTTACAATTATATTTAATTTTAATGGCTCTAGTATTTTAAAATATTTTAAGTAAATTATATAGAGTGCCATTAATACTGCTTGCCCCTGAAAATGGTCAAATGATATCGAAAGAGAATATTCCTTAAAAATGTACGTAATAATATATACATGCATAATATACGAAAATAAAAAACCTTCAGTAGTCAAAATAAAAAGAGCAAACTGATGGTCTTAAAATTCTTTTTGTGATATTTGTGATACAGGTTATGTCTGACTAACGCAAGCCTAGGTGACATTCAAAAGGAACAAATCAACGATGTGAAATTTTCTGTAGTTTTCCTAGTACAAGTAAGTGAAAATGTGAAAGCAGATGATAAAATATAAAACAAATTCCTTCGATATTCATTTTACTTCCCGGAAGCATTAAAACATTTCATATTTAAAGACACATAAATGGAAAAGTCGATATTATGTAAGTCATTATATAAACTAATTCATTCATTCATCAGTAATCTGTCAGACGACAGGTCCACAGTCTCTTCCAAAACAGTTCCTCCACTTAATACTATCTAGAGCTTTCTCCTTCAAATGAGAATATCCTCTTCTTTCCCCAAGGTCATCTAGCATCTTCTTACGTCTTCTTCCTCGTCTTCTGGTCACTTCTATCCGCCCCTCTATCTTTCCTTCGATAACTTCTTTTAGAAGGCAGTTACTGCGTAAGATATGACCAATCCAATTAACCTTCCGTTTTCTTATTTCGTGTAGGATATTCCTCTGCTCACTGACTCTAAATAACACTTCTTCATTTCTCACATAATCGGTCCAACTGATCTTCTCCATCCTTCTCCAACACCACATTTCGAAGCTTTCCAGGTGTTTCTGATCTACTGCCCTAAGTGTCCATGTTTCAGCCCCATACAGAGCTATGCTCCAAATGTAGCATTTCA